TTACCGAGTTCGAGATTTACCGAGTTACCCGAGGTGAGTCTTCTCACTATACTATACCTAGAGTGGTACCTATGTGTGACCGGAAGGTCTTATATGCTATGAGATGTATGTGCTGTATGCTGATATGATATGTATGTGTTATGTATGTTATGAATGATAAGGACCGGAAGGTCGTCATGATGTGGACCAGAAGGTCAGGATGATATGGACCGGAAGGTGAGGATGATATGGACCGGAAGGTCAGGATGATATGGACCGGAAGGTCATTACGGGTAGGGCCGGAAGGTCTACCAGGGTTGTGGGACGGAAGTCCTCTGAGACACAGTGACCGGAAGGTCTTATAGCCTTGAGTGGCGTATGTGCGTATGTGGTATTTTGGGGAACTCACTAAGCTTTTATGCTTACAGTTGTTATGTTATGTGTTTCAGGTTTTCTCAGTATCTCGGGATGGCACCGGCTTGATTGTACACACCAGTGAAAGAATTATGTTTCGAGGATCCTGGATTATTAAGTAATTAAGAAGGGATTGTGTTTGTAAACTAAACAAATGATGTTTTATGAAATGTGTATTGAGAATCATATGTTTTTCAAAAGAAAATCTGTTTTGAAAATTTACAGTGTTACAGTTCGGTTCGGTTCGGGTTTTCGGGCCAAATTCTCATCCCTAGATCAGGTCCACAAACAATCAGACTTAGTAAGCCTTTATTTGACATGGTAGAATTGGTTTTTTAGACAAAAACCAAATTAAAACCGTAGATTTATCTTTATATATAGTTATATATACAATGTACCTTAGTAATCTGGCTGAAGAAAAATCAAAGATTATTAGAGATCCCATAAGATTTGTGGTTTTTTTTCCTCGGATAAATTGTTAGAACTTCATTTTGTTCAAATCCTAATAAGTCTTCACAGTTCTAATGTTTAATATTCATAGAAATAAGTGTCCAAAACATTTTTATCAATGTAAAAACAAGTTCGCTTACAAAGAGCGGGGCAAATAAAAATTATGTATGACTATTTTTCAGCGAACAAACTTGGAATTCACGGTCGACAATGGGGGAATTTAACAGCCCACCATGGACGAACAAACTAGATTGTTTGCTTCTTTATATGTATAGTGTTGGTGATTTTAGTGTCAATCCATTTAGCATAATCGGGAATAACCCAAGACAAGCCAATAGGCATGGGGGTCTGGGAGCAACGCCTTTGGTGTGGTTTCAAGAGGCATTATCCCTGGCGGAGTTCTAAGGGTAACGCCCCTACTAGGGTCTAAAGGGTAGAGCCCAACACAGGGGGGGGGGTACGTGGCACCGGCCTAGCCCAAAACAAGATCAATATGTTGCAAACGTATATAATTGTTATTTTCCCGCCAAAAACAAATATGTGTGTATGTTCCAAATAGACAAAACTTCATGTAAAAAATAACTAATTTTAACTACCTATTGCTTCTATAAACATCTACGTTGTTAAAGAAGAGGTTGATCGATTATAACACTTATACTTTGTCAAATTATTGTCGCAAATAACATGAACAAAGCAAAGTTATGTGTTTTTGCAATCTCTAATTAGCATGATTTGTCAGATTATCACAAGTCTTAATTCACGTAACCCCATACAATAGGTGCGGATTACATATTAGAGAAAGCAAGGGCGAAGCCAAATTTTTAATATGGTTGGGGTTTACATTGTAATAAGTAAGGTGTAACTTAAATCACAATTGAGATTCTTCATTTCTCATGATTTTATGTTCTTTTTTGAATTTACTATAAATAAAACAATTCTTTATGTCTTTTCCGTATGTTAAGCTAACTTGATAATTATATAAATTAAAATTTTAAACTAAAAGGTAAACTTTGATAGTATTGTATAAATTAAAAGGGGTCAAAGAAACAAATATTGATTTATTGCATCCAAATGTAGGGCGTGTTTGGCAAATATAGTTGTTAGTTGGAAGTGGATAGCCACGTAGCTGGAAACGGGTAGCTGAGAGCTGGTAGCTGGAAGCTGTAGTTTTTATTTGTTATATGAATGTTTTGCAAAAGTAACTGGAAGCTTTTGAAATATATAAAATTACATAAAAGGACAATTGTTTTAAAGAAAATAAATATATAAATATATTTTTAAGGACAATCATGGAAATTGATTTCAAAAGCTCAATAGCGTTTTGTTAAACGCTACATGAAGTAGTTTTTAGATTTTGAACGTTTTGTTTAAACTAAAAGCTAAATGTTCGTACCATCAAACGAAACTTTTTGTTTAAAATTGAGCATATTGTCAAAAACTAAAAGCTAGAAGCTCTCAAACGCTTTTTAAACGCTCTAATACCAAACACGCCTATAGTGTCATACTTTTTAACGGTGAGTACCCATAGTAATGGCTTAAAGTGGTGATTACAAAAGCCTATTGAGTTTTCATTAAATAAAAAAATGATATAGAACCTGTCTGCCCCCTGTTGACTCCGGCCATATCAAAAGTGTTTCTAATATTATCTTATAAACTAGGTGTAAGCCTCATGTATTACATGGGTTCATTTTAAAGAAAAAATAATGAAATTCTAAACATTTAAGAAGTTTGAATTTATAAGGAAAAAAATAGAAAAATATTGAATTTTTAAAATTAAATTGTTTGTTTTTCTTTTAAATTAAAAAAATAATTTAGATAAATAAACAAAGGAAATTAATGAAACTTAATTTAGAAAATTTGAAAATAAAAGTAAGTCCATTAATGAAATTGATATGCATTTATTATTACATTTATTGAAATTATTAAATTTAAATATTATGTGAAAATTAATAAAATGAAAAAAACCACAAAATGCCATGTGGAAAAACATTAATTGAAAATAACCACAAAATGACATGTGGCCAAATCAATGAGAGTGTGGCATGTGGCAAAAAGTTTTTTATTTATTAGGAAGGATTATCCAAGGTGTGTTGGCATTTAGAACCAACTTTTCTAACATATAACCAAGTGGATGTAGGTTTTTGGTTTGATGAATGTTAACAAAACAATGTTATAGTGGAAGAGATTTAATATATATATATATATAATATATATATATATATATATATATATATATTAAATAACTGAATTTATTTTTAAATTGATTTGACTATTTAGACCAATTCGTTGTAGCCTATGTATGATCAGTTATTTATTTTGAACACCTACTTTAAATGTTGTCTAATCTACTTCTAAATCTCTATATTTTTCTAAAATAGAACTTGAACCTTGAACATATTGGCTTGGGGACACGTAACAACACTCCTCTAAGATAAAAATTCTTATATAGAACAATTGCATTGTTCATGTGCATAAGAATAATCATCTTTGTTGCTATTGGAGGAGGTTGCTTTACCTTTGTTAGCTTTCTTGGATGATTTATCAAATATCTTTTGAAAACAAAAATATTTGGAATAAAAGGTATTAAATAGAAAGAGATAAGAAAGTTGTGTGGAGTTTGTTAATTAGAAGACTCAATTTATAGAGCTTGGGCTTGTAATAAATTTGAACTTTGCGAGATCTTTTACGAGATCCAAGTATAATAGTTGAGAAGATACAATTTAAATTATTTTGGCTATAGTCATGGTAGTCCTCTTATTCAACTATTTCAACCATTTCCGAACACCTCATACTATTTTTGGGACGTCAAAACAGTCGACCATTTCTGTATAATTTTGTTTCTCGTGTACGACCCCTTCCATTGGGTTTCAAAGATAAAAATCCTTAACTGGCCCATAAATTGACCACCCTTGTAAATGGGTGAATTCAATTTGATTATTCCTTTTAATTATTAATCATTTCAATCATAAATTGTTTTAGTATGACTCATCAGTTAGATAGATTGAATATAAAAAATCCTAAATTCGCTAAATTAGCAACGGTGGGTTTTTGAGGCCTGATATTAAATAAAGAAATGATTTTGTGATACTCGCCATTTGGATCCTAAATACTACATATGGTCATTTTAGTTTTCATCTAACCGTACTTCTAATTCTATACCCCACTAAAACAAATATGATCAGTTGATTCAGTCATATATTTAGAACGCTGTAGGCCCAATAAGTATTTTCTTTAGTGGACTCCAGGTCCAACTCCATAATAATAGTCAAAACTCAACAAATGGGTTAAAACAGTTCACAGGTCTTTGTAAAGATATTTTTCAAGTTTCCACCATCTCCTTTTCCCTTTTCCCTTTTTTCCTTTTCAACAACCTATACTACTTTCCCAACAGGAATGTTCCTACCCTGGTCACACGCAACGCAACAACCGTTGATTTATCTTATCATATGTCCAATATTCCCAGACCAATAAGTCGTTGTACTTGCAGTTGTTTGTGAAGGGAATCTCCAAAGCCGTGTTCTACTCTAGAAGGGGTTCCAACAATCACAATTCATAACATATGTTTAATTGTTAAGTAGGGTCCCACCCCACCAATTATGTATAATTTTAAGACCTTAATCCCATAAAAGTATGGCAGTAGACGAAGGTGGTTCCTTAACCAAACCACATAAACTCTCATGTTCACATGCTTTACATTCTTGTTGATATTTTATACCACTTCTCAAAATTTTCTATTTACAAACACTTTGAAAAATTATTTTACAACATTTTTTAACTAATTATATATCTAGTTAGAACAACAATTACGAAGGTTTACAAATTTCCAACATTTTTTTTCTTGGATATAAGATAAGCATACAAAGTCCAAAAACAACTTCATAGAAAATTTATGGCTAAATAACACGAGTGAAATAAGCCAAATCGAGTCTTTCATTGACATATACTTGTTACATGCATGCAAGTGGGAAAACAGACTCTGTACAGGGTAAAACGACTTGAGACCAAAAGCATAACACCATGTTTTGTTCTCAAACATCGTTATATTATATATATATGTTTACGTGTATCATATATTATATATAGAGGAGAGCTACATAGCAATATATATATATATATATATATATATATATATATATATATATATATATATATATTATAGCTTCCGGTTGTCCAAAATTGAAAATATTATACTACCAAGACTCATGTCATCATTCGGGAAGTTGGAAGGAGTAGAATCTTGATGCAACTCGAATATTTATTTCAGTTGTTCCCAATACCATACTACTCCCTAATTCACCTACAACATCGACCTGTAGAATCCATAACCATGTGTCAGTCAATATCAACTCCATTTTTATAATATTTTTTAGTATGCAAAACATTACCTAATTTATATAATATATGAATTAGAGCACTTATGCGTTCTCGATTTTCCTTGTGTCTTTTTCATCCATGCCTTCTGCTACCGATGAATTGTCTTCGTCTCTTGAATTTAGGGTCCCCGGATTCATTCTCTGAACCTCCTCTCTGGTGTAGATGAAGATCTTCCTAACCATCCCACAGAATTCCCTGACATAGATAACAATAAATAAAAAAATAAGAACATGAACATAAGAAAAAGCCAATCAGTTAGTAATTCACGGTTACTTACTGCCACGGATCATCTCCAACAAGCATCATGTCACCTTCATCATCTGTATATACAACCAACCAGTTCTTGTTGCGCGTCTTTAGTTCCCCATTAAATTCAAATATAACATCCAGCTCAGCAATCAGTTCATCGTAGTCGTTAAATTTAGCAAGATCCACTGATCTGCCAAGAGCAATCCCTTGTTTGTGAACCTGAAAAAATTATTATTTGAGAGTCGGTCAAAACACTGACAACATTTTATCAGAGGGTGAGATGGTAATTTCACACAGACATACAAATACCTTTGTACAACTCCTTGTAGAAACAATAACACCTTGGAGTTTCGCTTGCTGGAAATGTTGGTATTCTTTATCTTGCTCTTTAGATGGATTATTATCGTTGACTTTCAAACGCTTTGATTGATCAGAATCAAATATGTGGTACTGATGTGTTGATGCATCTGCTGATATGTTTCTGTTACCAGCAAGTGGCACCCCAAATATTTTACAGTTTCCATCTTTTGGTTTCTGTTGAACAGATAACTTTGGAATCACATTCACATCACTGGAATGAGAAGGCATCTGGAGATAGGAAGTAAGAGATGGCGGAGGCATCACCCACTTACCAGCCTGCTCTCCGTTTCCCCTTTGACTATGTTGACCGGAATACTCGTCAAAAGCACTAAACCTAACATCTCGGCTTTGATATGAAATTTCATTGCTTTTCATGCCACCACCCAACAAGCTGAGGGATAAACCGGAGGGCATAATGGACCATGGATTTGAATGTAAGTTGAATTTTGATTCGTTAGGTGTAGGTGTAGGTGTAGTAGACAATTCGTTTGTAGACCCGAAACCTGATAACAGATCTGTGAAAGATGATTCTGGAGTTCTCCCAACAGATAAAATTCTATCTGACCCATGATGCCGTTTTTCATCATCTATTACAGAAGGTGTCCATTGGATTAACCTATCACATGAATCTGATTCGTTGCTGTCCACAAAAGTGGGTCTCAAGGTCGATAATTCTTGACCTTGCAAGACCCTTGAGAATGCAGGTGAAGGGTCTGCTGTCCCCATTTTTGATGGGCCTTCTCGGGTGAGAACAGAGGAATCAGGGGACGAAGGCAACATGGTTGACCGAGGTCTCTTTTGTCTGTGTACTGGAAGTGGATTGATTGCAGGAGGAACAAGAGCAGGTCTATTTTCCATGGTGAAACTCTTTCTGGACGTGGGATTGTAGAGCTTTCATCCCATCTTACCTTCAAGTATCTCCATTTTGAATCTGGCCATCTTTGTTGCTCACGTTCTTCAATCCCAACAATAGTTCCCGTAAATCTACAACAAATTATTATGTTAAAAGATAAAACCAAGACATATAGTCAAGAAACTATTGAGGAAAATCTATCTACCTTTGCTCTGGAGCCTCTTCACCTTCGAACCTCATGTTAAATCTCATTCCTATAGAGTAATTGTTCTTGACAGATTCCATGTATTGATCGAAGGGAACAATGAACTCTGAAGGACTAGTCCTGTGAGATTTTAATTGTGAAATTTTTAATATCATAAAATGGGATGAATAAAAGATATATAACGAAATCGTTAAAAGTACCTAGGTTTGTAATAAACTGTGAACATTGTTCCAGTTTGAATGGCATGCCAGGCTGTTGCAAGGACTCCAAGATGCATGCTGTGGCTGGATATGACGGATGAGGGTATGTTTGGTTGTTGTCTCATTGCACGTCTTACTCCTACACGAAGTTCACCATTCTCGCCTCTGTAAATTTTATTCACAAATATTTGTCAAGAAATCAAGTGTATGAAAGGGATGAAAAACAACAAGTTTATGATTTGACTTTGACCTTAGAAATATAAAAGCATCACCAGCTACAAGCCTTTTTGAACTAACAAATACACTCCAACCACTTTGAAGCAGATGCCTTCGGGGTTGACCTGCCATTTTGATTTAACAAACAATTATCAAGAAACATGAAATGACACAATCTGCTGATTTTGGAGCAAATTGAACTGTATTTCAGCGATTACCTCGGAATATGTGCCTGAAACGCCATTCACTTCCATGTAAATCCTTAGCCACCAATTCCTGTGTTGGGGGTTGCCTTGACATGTCCTGTCAAAAACAAAACAAAAGAAAACCCTCATCAGAAACATTACAAATGAAGTAACTGGAAAAGATTAGTTTAAAGTAAGATCCTAACCAATGGAGGAAGGCATTCATCAGCATGACGTCTCAGAACTGAAAATCCACCATGAGTGCTAGTATCTGAAGCAGTCAGCGTCTTGCAAAAAGAATGCACACGAAACTGTGATTCTGGTGATGGTGGTGGTTCCTTCTTGACCACATTTTCGTCTTGCTGTCGTCACATAAATTTAGTAAGAAGAATAGAGGTTTTTAAATAAAGGAGCTTCGTTACAAATCTTGATAGACTCACAATAGGTTCAGGCATCAGAGTAATTTGCGCGAACACCTCATCCGTGTCTGGCTCTGCCTATACGCACATGCATCGATGAAAAAAAAATTAATTAAACCAAGACACATCAGCTAAAGCGAAGAAAAAAACCCTCTAAAGAAACACAAATTTAACGGAAAGTTCAACATCTTCAATAATTGTACCTTCAACTGGACGTTAACAACACGGCAAAGTATCTTGGCCGGAAGGTTATACACCGGCATCTGTTGGTCCGCCACCTGATTTGTCGACGCCTCAACCTAATGGACATCAATCAAAGGAAACTCCTTAAAAGTCATCAAGAGAAACAGAATCATAGATATGAACCTTCTGAAAACCCTAATTCAGAAAGTGGTGTTTAACAAGACGGCTTCATAGATTAACACAATAGATATGAAATAACCAAACTAGATTTACAAAATAATTCAAAATTAAACCTGTTCGATGTGTCCTTGAGGGAAATAGAACACTAGTTCGTTCTCGCGAGGCACGGTAACAAGCGGACCCGCACATGCTCGCCATAGATCCTTATAAAGAGCTATGTCCGCATCAGCTACACAAGAAAACAGAGAAAAACAATCAGCTACACAGAAATTAAACCCCAAAACGCTTGACCGTAAATAAAACTCGCCGGAAAGTACCTTTACCGGGACCGGAGGCAGCCATACCATTTCTCGTATCAGTAACTCCGTCATTTCTGTCACTAAAACAAGATGAAGAAAGCGTGTCTCTGTTGCCTTTGCTTGAAACCTCAGAAGATGTCATTTTACTCGATGAAAGAGCGTCTTCAACACATCTAAATTTCCTTTACTACACAAAACCTTGAATCTCCACCTTCACAAGCTATAAATCAACTCAAATCACAACCAGAACAAGAGAAATCTTCAATCTAGCATCAAATTGAGCGAATTAACTCCACAAAACACCTTATCCCCCAAGCTATAAGACAATCAACAAACTTTTCTGTCGTTTAATCCCACACAAACACAGCTGCTGAATCTTTTGTTTTCTGAAGAATCAACTAGCAATCTTATAATCAGAATATAAAATCTCTTTTTCTGATGAAAGAAGATTTTGATGAATTTAGAGAGAGAGAGAGAGAGAGAGAGAGAGGAAGGAGGCTTTTGAAGAGACAGAGGGGTCAAAACTGCTAGTGCAAATGTGCAATCATTTCATTCGCGGGTCCTAATTCTAACACCACTGTGTTTGGCGACCGGCTATCTCCGGTTGCTCGGGCTTTCTGCCCGGTTTCATGCACCCAATTGAACAATAAACAATTTTGTTTTCTGGTTAATAATTGATGAAATATATGTAAAAATAATATAAAATGGATTTTAAATAACTTTTATTTAGAAAACTAATTTTAAAAATAATCGTTTCACGATTTATGTTACAGGTTTGTTATTATAGAAGTGACTTTGTTATTAAGAAAAAAGAAAAGAAAAAACAATTATTAATAACGTGCTTTTTGTTTTAATAGTATGTCTCTTGTTTGATTATAATTCATTTAGTATCTTTTATAGATATCAACTTAATATCATTATTCAAGAGAAAATATATCAAGTGTATTTTCAAAACAAGAAAAATGAGTATAACATGAAATACAATAACCAAATCAATAAAATCTATAGTACAATGTGCAAAACTTTTGTAGGTATGCATCTCCTATATTGTAACATTCGTTTCATGACATATCGAATCCGAGTATGTGCCCATCCATCAAAAAATTTACTGTAATATATTTTTGTACAAGTACAATATTAATTTAAAGTGTCTCGCCCTATTTAGGTTATTTCGTATTTCTAGTATGTGTAACTTTTATATTTGCTACAATATATTAATGATGATCGTTCATTTGACCTACTATCTTATCGTTTACATTGTTAAATGAACCTATATAAGAAAAAAATATTGTATCCCTTGGTTAAAAAGACAAATATGATATTTACATATTTCTTCTTTTCAATAGATGTCATGACTAATATTGGAAAAAGAAGTTGTGACTTTGAAAGTAATTATCTCACTTATTAGATTTTTATTTTTTTCACTTATAGTATTTTTTTTTAATTAGATCGGAAGCCAAAAGCAATTAGACCAAAAGGTGTTGATTTCAATTTGTGTGATTATTTAATTATGTTGCTTCAAAAAGAGTGTTTTACATCATTAATATAAAAAATTGTATGATACAGCTATAACTTTAGTTAAAGTGTTAAACTATTAGATTTATTACGAAACAAGTAGACTTATGAAAAATTGAAATGTAAAATATGTAAACTAAAAGGGGGGCAGATGGATACATCCAAAAAACAGCGCTCCCTTGTAGTATGTATTCAAAAGTTGAGGGGGGCTGAGTGTCGGTTTAAAAAATATTTAAACCGGCCAATAACAGTGACCCCCGCTTTCCCGACCGTAGTGCTGTGTACCCTTGGAAGGACCGGGTGTGCAACTTGGACAAATATGTGCAATAAATTAATTGGTCAATGGGAAACGCCTTTCGATATACTTTTTTGTAGCGATATATTATTTGATAATTTACTTATTTTATATTGGGATTTAAAAAAATAGATCATGAATATGAATATGATTCAACGTATAGTTAAATTATACTCTATAAATCACCAAAATTAATAGTAATTGTTTTATATAGATGTCTTAAATTATTTGAAAGATATTTAATTGATTGATTTTCATTTTTATTATTTACGTGAACTTGTAACATTTAGGACTGATTACTTGCTAATAAGTTAGTAATGACGTGGTTTTGATGTGCCAAGATATTAAGACAATATAATTAAATAGTAATCTCAAACTTTTCTTTAAATAGTCAATAACTCAATTTTCTGTTTTTTTTTCTTACCAACATAATCTTCTTTTGGCTTTTCCTTCCCCTAAAAACATTTAGTTATTCAACATTTTGGATTTCTTGCCCAAATGGCCGAAATTGAGTTAAATCAGCTTGTAGTTCACATGTTGCTCTCTATAAAAAATATGAGTTAGTGTTTTTTATGAAATAGAACTTTCTTAATGAATGTTTCGGGTCAGTTTTTACGTACTGACTAATCATCCGCTGCAAACATAAGACTATGTCTCATGCAGTCATGCTCTTGAGTTACTGCACATGAACATTGTAACGTCCCATTTTCACAACAAAAAATTTGCATTTTTATTAGAGTAAAACTTCCAAATTATAAATCAATTATTAAGAAAACTGTTTATTCCAACATACATTTATTGAAAATCAGAGTAATATTAAAGCGCAGAATCTTCATTATGTTGACGAATGTGTAAAGTCACACGTTCGTCTGCCCATGATAACCGATGATACTTGAAACAATAAACAATTGGGTAAGCACAAAGTTTAGTGAGTTTCCCCCCAAAATACCTCATACGATAAACATACAAGCATGCGTAACGGCCCACAATCATCGGATTGGAATGCCCATGCCCAATCAGTATGCGGATTGGAATGCCAACATACAACGGGTCCAATCAGCCATCGAGTTGGAATACCCAGGGTTTGTTGGCCTATCGCCTTAACCTAACCGCTCTTCTCGAGCCTCCGTGCCTACGGCTTACAGCTGAAGGGTTTTGAGCATTCTAACACTCCTAAGGTGTACATGCAACCCTAAATACCTCGGATCTATGTTTTCTCTATTATACATGCAAACTTTCTTTTTTCTAATGTATTACCCTAACTAGCATACAAAACTTTGATACTTGGGTAATAAAACAAGTTAGATAACATACCTTTTTGTAACACCCCGTTTATTTAATAAATAAATAAACGAATTAATGAATGAATAGTGGCCCTACAATTTATAATTTTATAGCAAGGTGTTGGTCTCGAGGAGTTAACTGTCATAATTTTTAGAAGGCGGGGATTAAAGTGTAAAATTCGGACTTAATTTGTAAGTATTATTGAAGGCAGTGACTAAATGGTAATTTCTGGGACTTCATTTGAAGAAATTTTAGAGGATAAGGGGCTGTTTGGTAAATTAGGGATTTAATTTGAGAGGAATTATGGAAGCGGGGGTGTAATTGGTAAATTTCGTACCTAAATGTAACGGATTTAATGTTGAAGGTTTATATGGTAAATATTGGATTTATTGTGAAAGAAATGGGGAAAGGAGGGTGTAACATCCCAAAAATTCAAGCCAATTTAAAACTTTTTAAAACATTTAAAACCATTAAGTTATTACAGTTTGTTTTCAAAATAGTTTAATCATCAGAGTATCCCCATAATCAAATCATAAAAATCATGAGATATGAGGAGCTATACGATCACGCCTTCGCCTTCCCGCGGTCATCCGCTGAACCTGAAACAAAAAACTGAAACTATACACTCGAAGGCTTAGCGAGTCACCCCCAAAATACCAACGCCATACAAATATAATCATATCATATAACAAATACAGAACAACATGCATAATGAGCCTTCAGCCTGACTGGACCACCTTGCAGGCTTTCAGCCTATCTGGACCGCTCTTCGAGCCTTCGGCACGTTTGAACCGCCTCGCAGGGCCTACAGCCTATCAGGACCGCTCGCCGGGCCTTCGGTCTGACTGAATCCCTTTGCAGGGCCTTCAGTCTATCTGGGCCGCCCTGGGTATGTTGGCCTTCAGCACAAAGCAGGACCACCTCAACCCAACCCCAAATCAAACAAACATGTGTACATAAATACCATACTCTTGCATATATATAACAGTCATACCGATCTAACAGATCATCAATCATAGCAACATCCTATAACCAGGATACCGACCTAACCATGTCACTAACATAGCATCATCCTATATACCAGGATACATGTAACGTCCCAAATTTCACGTCTAAAAATTTCTTTTAGATAATAGTTTTAACAGAAACCTTTGTAAGAAAATATTGTTAATTCATAACATCTCATAAAACATTGTGTCATAACTGAAAACCAAACTCATAAAACCGTGATAATGTCAGAGTACAATCCCAAGGAAAATCTCCTAATGCGGAACTGAGGCGTGTGTATGATGTGCAACTACCGTGCCGGCTCATTCCCCTTCGCTGAAGAGGTACCTGAAACAACACTGAAAACTATAAGCACGAAGCTTAGTGAGTTCCCCCATAATACCTCATACCATACACATATAATGAACAGCTAGGAGATACGGGCCTCGCCCACACTCATGGAGATACGGGCCTCGCCCACACTCCGCTAGCTGGGAGATACGGGCCTCGCCCACACTCCACTATCTCTGAGATACGGGCCTCGCCCACACTCAGCTAGTAAACCATAACATACAAGTATCACACAGACAACGAGTATAAACAATTCTATCATACAAGCATATATCATAATCAAACTCAACTATGAGATACGGGCTCTGCCCACACTCCAATACTAACGTATCATCTATACGGGCCGGCCTTGGTGCCTTAGACCCGTTCCTACTGGAAGGAAACTCACCTCATAAGACTGACTGCTGGAAAGCTGCTCGGCAACTGTCTGGCTATTCCGGTAACTCCCCGGCTACATTTCCATAAAACACTCAATCAGACACCACTAACTAATCTTTGGGCAAAATGACTATTTTATCCCTGGTCAAAGTCAAGGTCAAAGTCTTTTCCAGCTGTCCTGACTCGCCAAGTTGGGCCGCCAACTCGTCGAGTCCCTATCCTTTCCTTTATCCAGATCCGTGTCACTACTCGTCGAGTTTAGCAGTGACTCGACGAGTTCTCCTTCTACATGAACACTAAATGGTCCTTCAACTGGCTCGCCGAGCCGTATGAACGACTCGTCGAGTTCGCCTTCATCAGATGAACTGCTAGGCAGCGACTCGCCGGGTTGTTGAACAACTCGTCGAGCTCGCCGTCATCCTAAGAAGGTCCAGTCCCGACTCGCCGAGTTTCATGAACAACTCGTCGAGTTCTTTGAATATTGCCTTGGACTCGCCGAGTCTCAAGAACAGCTCGTCGAGTCCTATGAACTCCAGGTTCACTGCTAAGTCCCATACGTTGGGTCACTTCCCTAGGACCCTCTAAAACCCTTCTAACACTCAGCTGGGTTCATTCGCACCCTAACAGAAAAGGGCAGTCACGCCTCGGACTCGCCGAGTCCTAAGAGCGACTCGCCGAGTCCTAAGAGCGACTCGCCGAGTCGAGTTTGTCCAAGTCTTATTTCCTGATT